GCGAGTGTGCTCGCTCATCCTTTCGCGACCAGAGTTCGCGGGATTACGCGAGTGAGATCGCTCAGCGGGCGCGATAAAATTACGCTTGACAAACTGAAATCGGCAAACAAGCGAGAGCTGGCGCGAGAGAGAATAAACTGGCGTCATACTCACCGGGTGCCGACGGTCCGTCGGTAGAGAGGCGACGCCGGCGAAAGCGGAGACCCGCTGGCAACGGTGCCCTAGCGACGATGGACGCAGCTGCAGGAAGGGCCGCAACACGGCCTTTACTCCGTGGTCGATGAATGGTCGCTGCGGGGATTGGCTCTGCTTCCCAGATAGCTTCTGCTCCATGGCAGATATAGCTGTCGCACCAGCGTCAGTGGTTCCTCTGCAGCAGGAACTCTAAGCCTCGCGCTACCGCGCTCCCACTTCTTTCGCTGTTAAAAATTAGTCAAAATCGCTCTCTCTCTCTCTCTCTCTCTCTCTCTCTCTCGCTCTTCTCGCTCTCACTCGCACTCACAGCGACACTTCGCCGATCGTTGCGCTCCTCTCTCCAGATCCTGCAACGACATAAGTATGTAGTCGCTATATAACATACACTTGGTCGCTGCGTTCACGCGAGGAGAGTGCCGCACACAGGGCCAGCGAGTATCGCCATAGCCCTGTGACATAGTAAAAATTTGGAATATAGAGAGTATTTGAACGTACTACTCGAAAGCACTAACTGGTCTCATATTTCTAATTCGAAAATCGTTAAAAAATTGTGGCCTAAAGGCGCGAAAAATATTTATATACTATTTTTAGAACAAATTAAAACTCCTCAAAAAAGACATTAATTTTTAGTAGATATATATAGTAGACAAGCGAAAATTATTGTTCATTTGAAAGCATTATAATTGTAAAATGACATACCTACTTATATCATTTGGTAACTATGCTGTTTAACTAATGCATATGGTGACTGTTATGGTGATTCATGATTTTTAATTCATATTTTATCATGGCTAACATTGAAAAAAGTGAAATCTCAACAACAACAAACATTTTATGACGTAAATAAAAGCGTAAATGCTATTTCATTAGTGTTCTTTCCGTTTATTAACAACTGAAAAAAAGTACCTCTCTTTTAAAAATAATAATAATTACACTTTTGTTAAATGCGTTACTTTCGTATTATGTAACATAATTTTTTAATAGTTTTATTTCTATTGAAATCTACATTAAAATGGCACGGATGATATAAATTATTTTCACGTGTGGTGGTATTTATGCATGCTTTTTCGCTATAATCTAGTAAATTACTTTTAGTAAACTGTAAATTCTTTAACCCGAGCTTATGAGATATTATAATTTGTATGTTTCACGGTATATTACTGATGTAAATATCTCTGTTACAATCATATAATATGGAACTTGTCTAAAAGGGGCAGTGATGCTATAAATTACTTCATAATACTTTACATAAATTATGACAGTTTTGAAAGTAATGAAATCTATCTCCATGTTATAACAGAATTAGCCGTGCAAATGGGGAAAATGGTGCAAAATACCATGATGCAGAGCTAACCGCCACTCTGTTAGCTATGTATGGTTATACGTATATTCACCTTTAGATCCATTACTTCACTCCAACTTCAAGTAACTCCCAATAGTGAACTCACCTTAAGTCACTTGACTGTTGACTTTTATCGCTCATACCGTGTAAATAGGCTTATGTTTACTTTTCCCTATCCCCTAGACCAAGTCGGTTCAAATACTGGAGTTGGATTAAACATTAGTCAGAGAGCGCAAGATTATAAATCGGTGAATTAACCTAAATCCTTTTAATGAGCTAAACTATACAGTCTTTGTATGGGCAGAAAGACTTTCGCACGCGTACAGATTTATATTATAATCCGAGGAGAGAGAGAGAGAGAGAGAGAGAGAGAGAGAAAATACAACATTCAACGCAAACTAACGCTCGGCGCGGCTACCCAAAGGGTTATTCAGCACATATACTAAATACTTCATGATACTATTTTGTGTGAAAGTCTCGCGGTTAGGATAAGCGCAGCTATCGTAAGTTACGGTGACGGTGGTCAGCCGTAATCATGCGTGAATCAGCAGATAATTGGGAGCCTCGTTCCTAGGACGGTGTTGTCACTACACCTGTTACCGTGTTCTGGCTGCTGTCGATAAGTCCCTGCACTTATTACTGCTAGTGAGAAAGTAACTGGAATACTAGACACTAATGTCGTACTGTATTGGAGTAGCTCGCAATATTCTCGTTATTTTGTCCCAGAATCCTCACTCGCACTCCCAACAACACTCGTCTCACTTGCCAGCTCTATTGATACTAATCCTACTTTCCGCACGCGCCCTCTCACTCTTCAAATCGTCAGCTCCCGCGCCTCGAGTGTTGCCGAATCGCAAAAAAACGATACTTTAAATCGATTATCGTTGCAACACGATAGGTGTAACACGAATACTATATATTAATTCACCACTTTTGCAAATAAAATTAACTGATGTAAATATGTTTATAACTTATCAAAATAAGGAATTACAATCTTAAATTTTACGTTAAAATTTACAATAATTTATAACAATATTTCGTAACTTTCATTCTTGCCGGGTCTGTTGTATTTTTCTTAAAATGAGGAAATTTATTGTAAGTTCTTCGTTTTCATAGTTGAGTATATTCGTTGCTTTTTGGATTATTAATTACATGCTCTTTATTGTTTTAAGAGAAAAAAAATGTTATATGAAAAAGCTAGCGACGTTTATCAAATTAAAAAAACGTTTTTAATTACAATAAAGAAAAATAAAAAAGAAAAATATATAATAATATTGTCGCGTCATCTACGCGATTTACCACCAATTCCTTAAATAGGGAAAAGAGAGGCGCTTTCGCTCCCAACGATCAAAGGGGGCAGGAGAAAGGAGCATAGGTCAATAAATGATTAAGCGCATAAACTTTCGAAGTTTAACACAAATTTATTATTAGCATAAACCACACAAACAAACTAACTCGCAAGACTTACTACTAATGTAAACAATTAATAACTCGCACACACACACATTAACTCGCATATTACCACTAATAAATAATATCGAGAACGCACGGACTTTATCATTACTACCGATGATGAACAAGGCGCGGATCACCTAGCAATAGGATCTCCTTGATAATCCGTGTTTTAGAAGAGCCGTTGCTCGTACAAAGAACTTAGTAGCCGGCGACTAAACGCCTGACTACCGAGTACTGCCATATTTAGTCTAGCCGGAGAAACTGAGAGAGAGAGAGAGAGAGAGAGAGAGAGAGAGAGAGAGAGGATAACGAAGAGAGTGAGAGACCTTTATGTCTCTGGTTTGTCGGGTGATGCAAATCTCGCTGTAGGGCCGAGGCATGAAGGGATACCGTTGTCCTCGTGATGACTAGGCGTCTCTGCGGGATCAGCAGAGGTGGCTAAAATAGAACATAGGTGACTAAAATAAAAGTCAGTAGTTATGCACATTTTCTCTACGCGTCCAACGCTAACCACTATGTCTTGCCCAGAGTAGCGGAAATTGAGGAACAACAGACGAAGAACAAGCAAGCTGTTAGCCCCTGTCACAAAGAAAAGTACAAAAAAAGGCCTGAATACAAAATCCAATAACAAATGAGATAGTATTAAGCGGAGACGATAATTAGCTTACTCGCATTGACAAGATTAGTGGCAATCTCGTCGGTAATCCTCTCTCTTTCAGGTAGACGAACACGTAACCGAGTATTACAACTTATACGTGGGGGAGGTGGTAGGACTGCTCAGTGGAACTCCAACATGCAAAAAAGAAAGGGAGAACGAGAGAAACACGGTTATCGATCTTCACGACCCAATGACTATCTCGTAGTTTCTGCTTCTTCTGCTGCTACCACTAATGTCGCTATTGCTACCAAAGCTGCCGGTATCTCTACCGTTGCCAACCGATGCCTTTGGCACAGTTGCTGACCGTTGTCGCTTTAAACACCAAAAAAAGATCGCATCCGCGCCGTCAGTGTGAATCATTGTTAGTATCCCCACAAACTCCGGTGCCGGGATTGGATACTGACTGAGCGCTGACCAACGACAAAATACATTCCCGCTCAAAAAGATTGGCCGTATAAACTAAAAATTGTATAAAATTAAAAGTTTTGTAATTCTCGTTAGGAACGTCGTAAGAAGATCTGCAACAGGTCATTTTGAACATTTTTCTGCCATATTTCAGCCTATGCATGTTAGAATGCATGTAAATTAGTTTCTTTATCATGCTACTAGAGTTGAAGGAATTAAAAAAAATTTTTTTTCGACACATTCAATTCCACACCATTTTGTGAAAAAGTATTGAGTAATAAATCAATTCAAAGTATTTCAAAGGTACTTCCAAGACCTTTTTAATGCTGCCTGATAGAACTGTCTAGCATTTTTTTAAGTAAAGTTATTGCGATTTTTCTGAAAAAAGTCATTTTTAATACAAAGTTAAATAGCTTGGAAATTTCGATTCATAGCGAAAAATGTTACTAGGAAAAAATGTTCTATTTACGGTATCGATAACGTTGAAAAATGTTCTAGAAAATTTAATTCTAATTGCTCTGCTATGATGTAAGGCTTCGAATAGTTAATACTCCTACTTGTAATTAGACCTTCAAATGTAACTAATCTATGAGTCAGTCAACTTTATCTCTTCAAGGGCGGTGTTCTCCTTTTTTTATCAACGAAGATTATCTCTGTCTCAGCTAAAAATACCATTATAGTACTCAAATACTTCAAATAAATATTCTAGGTGTTCTAGCTATCACGTTTTTCAATAGAAATGTTATAATTAATAATAAAATACAATACATTACGTCAATCATCAATCAGTCTATCAAAGTTTTCAAATTTTTACTATATGGGTCGCATTTCTTGTAATATTTCTTATTTGTGTAATTATACATAACACATTACATAAGTATTGACTTCCTAATTCAGTATAACAAAAAATTATTTTTAATTAATTCAAGTGATTATATTTTTCAGTTCAATCTAGTATGTGAATACAAAATATATCCAACATTAGGATTAGTAGCTTTAAATGCAGGTGGCCCCATTGGAGTTTACATGTTTGGGAACTTGAATGACAGGTAACGTTATAATATTATATAGACTCTAAATTAGTCTTTTAGTTTAAAAAATTAAGAGAAGTTGGAGTGTATCAATTTTACTAGCAATTCAGTAGTCTTGAATTCTGGGAGCTTGAAGTATCATTGTCCAGATTCCGGTTGATAACTGAATTGTATGTGTGAAATGAATAATAATAATCTTATATATAAATTTTGACAATTAAGATAAATTAGATAGAAATTATGTATGTATGTTACACGGAAAAAAGAAAGGTAAAAAATTCAAGTAATATATTGTGGCCGTTAACATATTCTATCTGTAAAATGAAAAATATTCAATATTTTCTTTATATAAATTGCGAGAACGATGAATCTCCGTGCGCGTTGGGCTGAACTCTGCAAATTATTTTATAGGTTTTTATCTATTGTTTTATAGGCGTGGACTTCCACGGGTCAACTGATCGCGCTGGTTGGGATAAGGCGATATCAAGAAATTGACGAAAAGAAATTATAATAGGCGATCGCTTTATTTACGCCACATGAAAATAACACTTCAACTTAATAAATACAAAAACAGTTGGGTAAGCGCGTTCGCTCAGCCTGTTCCAAAATTCGCCGGAATACGCAAGCGAATTCGCTCAGCATGGGCGTTACTTTCGCTTAGCCTATCCGCAGTTAGATAACGAGCGAGAAGTAGCGCGACAGAGAGAAAAGTATCAAATGATCATGAGAGTGACCCACCAAGTGTTGTAGATCCATTGATGGAGAAACGACGTCGGCGGAGAGGCCCGAACTTCTTGGATGAGGAATGGCTGCGTCCTCGGTTAAAGCTGGCAGCCACAGGCGCTGGTGTTGTGGCCTTAATTAATCGTCTGGTGCAGTCGCTTCTTCCGTAAAGGTTTCCAATGAAGCGGCCGTTATTAACTTTAGCTGGCACCTCACTAATTAGGTAACCTTCCTTTCACTTAGCTGACGCCTAACTGCTTTGCCTTTTCTTGGTACCTCTTCTTGTCGTCACGTGCCGTTCCTCTCTCCACTCTTCCTTCTAAAATTCTTATCGCTACTACTCTCTCTTTCTTGCTCTTCTCGCCCTCGCCAACGGCGCCACTTCGCCGGCCGCAGCGCTCCGCTCTCCTGCAACGACATAGGCATATACTATTTGACAATGCACATGCTAGGTTGCCGCATTCTCGCGAGGAGAGTGCCGTGCACAGGGACAGCGAACATGTTGTAGCCCTTTCACAGCCCCCAACTAAGCACTACTAAGTGGGTTGCCCATCGCATCTCCGCTCTCTCGAACACAGGACCAAGCAGAACACAGTCATAAGTGAAATCGACATAATACTAATAGAAATAGAAAAAAAACAAATAACACATTTACCATAAGACTCGCCCATATTACAAATATAATAAAACAAATAAAATTCATACGAAAAAATAAAAGAAAATTCTGTGACAAGTGGACATACCTCGGTACCTTAGCTTTCTCGTGCTTCTCTGGAGCTGCGTTCCTACTTATCGCCCTGGCGGTGAGGTCGCACGCCTAATTCGCGTGCTGAATTCACTTCTGTGGTAGGTGGCCGTAACTCAACTGGCAACCAACTCGTCGTTGGCTCAAATATTGCCGTCTCGCTGCTAAAACTGCGCCTCGGTGACTGCTTCACCTCATTCCGGCCCGGTGGAGGAGCAGTGTTGCCTTGGGAGCTTCTCAATTAAGCACCTCGAAAACACTCACTTTGAGGTTGAAGACCCTACCAATCTGTCTTCCGACCCAGCGCCTTGTTCCATGCGCCCTCCAACAATCTCGCCGCAACCGCCCCTACAACCACCTCAGCGACTATCTCGACTTCAGTTCTCCCTTTAAGCAAAGAGCCGACGTCCTCACCTAGGCTCTGCGCTTCGGTCGTACATACGTCGACAATCGACGCTGCTTCCACCCCTCTGTGGCCCACTCCTACTGCTGCCAGTATTTCGACATGCTCATCAGAAATACCCGAGATCTCTTCCTACGTTACTATCTCGCATGTAATAAACCATGTAATAACCAAATCACTCTAACAGCCAACATCCGGTAAGCCATATATGCCTTCCTTCGTTTTACGCGTAAAACAAAATAAAATAAACTTACATATTCCATATTCACTCACATCATACATAACTCACGTTTCGCGGACGTACGTATCTCTTTAGCTCAGATACATATGCCATTTGCACCTATTTATTGTTATTCGTTATTAACATATATATAGTATCTCCGACGAAACTACACGTAAAACCTTATACAGATCAGTAAATCGAGAATCCAATTTGGCATTTTTACCGGCAGTCGAGCTCGATAATGTATGCGCGCGTCTTAATACCAAATCATCTACCGAAAATTTTGTATCTCATTATTTCTTATCATAGTGTTTCTTCTGGTGATTCTACACTTCCTCAGTGTGTTTTATCACTAAATTACTTGTTTAAATTCGTATGAGTACTTATCCTAATTTCTATGATCGTGGTCCTCGAAAATCGCTATTTGCTTCAGCGTTTTAATCGCTTGCTCAGCGAAATTTGCCGGTTGATGGTACGGTCGGCAGAGTACATGCTCGATTTTTTTCTCGTTCAGACTCGCTCGGAACTCGTTCCCACGGAAATTCTTACTATTGTCCGTCACAATGTATCCCGGTATTTCCCACCGATACAAGACGAGTTCTTCAAGAGCTTGCGCAAGTGCTTTCCCCGCGAGAGGCTTAAATTCTACATATTTCGTAAATAAATCCTGAAACACGACTGAGTACTGGAAACGATTCCTACTTCTCGGAAGTTTAACCACGTCTGCCGCTACTACCAACCATGGTCGCTCGACTATCCGCTTGCTCATAAGGCCCATTGGTAACTGCTGCTCAATTTTATACCGCTGGCACGAACTCCGCAACTTCATGATACATCCCATGCCATGAATATTCCCTCGCGACCCTATCATAAGTTTTATTCCTTCCAAAGTGTCCCGCTGATAGCTTTTAGTGTGCGTCTCACATCACTCGAGCTCGATGTTCCAACGGTACCATCAAACGCCAACACTGCTCGCGATTTGTCACCGGATCTAGCAATCTATCCGTCGTAAAACGATAGAGCATACCGTCTTCTACTCTTCGTTTGTTAAATTTATTCGGTCTCGTAACTACGTCTTTCATGCATTGCAAGTATTCGGGATCCATAATAGTCGCGAATGCTGCTATTTCCTCGTCATCTTCTCACGCACGCGATAACGCGTTCAACGTGTGATGTAGGTGACCCTTTCTGTATACGATCTCGAAATCATATTGTTGAAGCTCGAGAATCCATCGCGCAAGTCGACCTGTTGGCTCCGTTATATTACGCAACCAAATAAGCACTGTGTGATCTGTGAATACCACGAAATGCATTCTCTCAACGTATGGACGAAACTTTTTAATTCCCAATAAACTAAATTACAAAGTTATTGAGAGTGACACCCAAACTCCAACTAAATAATCATATAAAATTGATTATGACAACGTTTCGCTGGTTTGTCTTCAAGCCTCCTTAGGTCTTTTATTAAATTGTCAATTGATACAAAAATATACATGAGGACAACTCAAATAAACAAATATTAAAAATTAACAGAAAAACAAAATCAACATACCAGCGCAACATTTAGAAATTCAAATTTACAAAATTCATATTATCATTGCTAATAGTCCAAACTAGTAAAAAAAACAAAAGCCATCTAATGTTTGTGATTACAACAAAGAAAAAGGGTGAAGAATTTTTCTAACACGAAAATTCTACAAAGAGTAATTAATGTTGTATCTATGGGAGAAAATTTTAATGTTAAAGTATCTTTATCAAAATTAGATATGTTAACACAATTAAGAATTTTGAAATTAATTTAAAAAATCATGATATACCGTTTCATGATGTTCGTCACATTTTAATTAAAAATATGCAAAAGACGATAAAACTAGTGTTAACCAAACAAGAAAAACAGTTCTCAAAAGATTTAAAGTACACAAAATAGTTTTGCAAAAATCTAATCCAAATATATTTTTCACACGTGCAGACAAAAATATTATCACAGTATGCCTTAATAAAGATGATTATATTGCAAAAATGAATAGGTTACTTCAAGACTTCAATACATATAAAATTACTAAAAAAATCCAATACAACCGTTCCAAACAAAAGTTTATAAAATTTTGCGGAAATTTCATGACAATGATTATTTGGATAAAAAATATAATAATGAATATCTCACTCAATCAAACAAAATCATCGCAAAGGTTTATGCACTACCTAAAATTCACAAAGAAGGAATTCCCCTTAGACCGATAATTTATACTATTAATAATCCTACAAATTTCTTATCAAGAGTGTTGAATAGTGAACTGAAGAAGTGTATTTGGAGGCCTCATTCGCATATCAGCAGTAGTTTACAATTAATAGATAAAATATACAAAATAGATAAATTAATAGTGACCAAGCAGTCAACGCACTAACGCCATCGGCCGGCACGCCATTTATGTACTTAACGCGTTTCGGGCTTTTCTTTTTCTTTTCAATTTTTGATTGGCTTGTCGCCGTGACGCATGATCTTTGGCGGTACATTCATTAATCCAAAGATCGTGTAATTACACTCGAACAACCCCATTCCCAGGACCGCAAATGCTGTATACTTCATACTCTTCTCATTTAACGGTACTTGCAGGTATGTCTTTTTTAAGTCGATGTTAGAAATATAACGTGCAGTATACATGCATATAACATGCAATCGATCAAGGACTGAATCGTTACTCGGCATCGGATATGAGTCTGTTTTCGTCACCCTGTTCATCGGTCTCAAATTTATATATATTCGATTCGTACCGTCTTGCTTCTTTACTATTACCGGTGCGCTACTTCAATCACTTGCCGATTTCTGAAGTAGCCAAGGAAGTTTTTACTGGATACGCGCCTTGCAAAGCAATCTCGTGCTTTATTAAATGTGTACGCGCAGAGGACTTTTTGGGTACCACATG